CACGAATTCTGCCGCAATCGGCGCAATCTTGTATTCTATCATTCTTGGCTGCAACATATTGGCCCCTATTATGAGTCAGGATTGAGAGAATACAAAGGTTGCGCCGATCTCGGACCGCTATTCCGCTCTTAACGAATTTGACAGAATCGTTGTTTGCATGACGTCACACTTGTGCAACTTGTTTACGTTTTCCTTGCAACATTTTTTCTTCTTCTTCCATTCTTGCTCACGTTTTGGCATTTCCCTCTCGCAATTGCACCAGTGTGACGTCACACAAAAGTTATTCTCAAAAATCCTCTCTGATCGGCGCAATCTTGTATTCTATCATTCTTGATTATGAGTTGCATTCGATTTTCGACTGTGGTCGAAAGCGCTGAGCGAACGAGTTTTCATTTGGTATTATGGCGCTCATTCGATGAAGAATAGCGCTATTGTGAATTTCGCTCGTTTAGGTTGTTCACAATAGTATATTTTTCACCGCTGAGAAGCTTTGTTTACAAATCGAGCAAACTAAATAGTGTGCTTATACATATTTATGTAAATTTGTTCTAATTAAAATGAAGTAAAAAAGAAAGCAAGTTTATAAAAACGTGGTAAAATGAGTACAACGAGTTCTGGTTCAACGATTCGTCAGAGGATGAGAGCTTAGTAAACTGGCCAGGAGTAGCAAATGTTTACGAGAGTTTAAGTTTATTAGTCTTTCGAATATATTTTGATATAAAATATATTTAAGAAATTTGTCTACAGATTCATTAAAAAGTTCCGACCATCTAAAGAGGCGTTTGTGAGCAAAATCTATTTAAAATATTTTAAAACTCAACAGCGCTACGATTTTGTTCTCAGAGGTCGTGCCAACAGAGTGTTGGGATTTCCTTTCCCAAGTAAAACCAGCCTTTCGAGCTTGTGTTTAGTATTCACGATGTTAGAACTGCATGAAATTAATAAAAATTGTTTAAAATTAGTGTCTAGCCGCCAAAATGTAAGAAAACATATACAAAATCATATTTTTCACAATTTTCTAACAGTTCGCTCCACCATCGAAAGCAAAATTCTGTTCGACAGAAAATTCGATACTCAACGAAAATTTCGACACGCTTGCATAGCTCATAATACGAATTTCACTTTCGATCTTCGATAGCCAGCGAAGATCGAAAATCGAATGCAGCTCATAATAAGGGCCATTTATTTTTATAAATTTTTAGAAGCTATTGTAGAGGATTCCTTATTTCAAAATGGGAACAAAAAGACCGGGAAGCAGTATGGTGCCTGTGGCCCAAAACACGAAGCGTAGTAAAACCGATTTAATCGCTTTTACCAACCGGGATAAAGCGTTAATGGAGTCGGTAAGCAAATATCTTTTGGAAATTGGATAAACGCTATCAATTGCTTTATTTAGGGTATTAGACGCACATCCAACTTAATGGCGCCGATCATGTTGCTAGAAGGGCATGAGGGAGAAATATTCACAACTGAATTTCATCCGGATGGCGATTTGCTGCTTTCTTCAGGTTTTGATCGTCAAATCTGTAAGGTGCTTTAATTCTAAAGATAGAGATATATTACAAATATTTTCTTTTTAATAAATTTCAGATATCTGGAATGTGTATGGAGAGTGCGAAAATTTAATGGTTATGTCAGGTCACAGTGGTGCTGTGTTGGAGGCACACTTTTCGACAGATGGCTCAAATGTGTACACATGTGCTACCGATAAGACTGTTGCAGTATGGGACATTGTGACTGGACAGCGAGTGCGTCGGATGAAAGGTCACACAACTTTTGTGAATACCGTTCATTGCACTCGACGAGGTGTACAAATGTTATGTTCGGGCTCAGATGACCGATTGATAAAAATATGGGATGCGCGCAAGAAAAATGCGGTACATACTCTGGAATCGCCTTATCAGGTGACAACAGTATGCTTTAATGA